CATCTAGTTAATAACCATGGTAACCATGACGACCGCCGTGGTCCAGATGGTCATGTGATTTTCTTCCAGTCCATTTGAAGTGTTCCAATTCAAATGTTTTAAATTGATTGTTTCCTGCAGTACTCCTGGAAACTGGTCCACCCCACGGACAAGTACTCCAACAAGGAGTGTCCAGACAACGCCGAGGAGTACGAGCGGGCCACCAGGTACAACTACACCACGGAGGAGAAGTTCGCCCTGGTGGAGGTGAGAGAGAGAGAGAGAGCGCTCCTCCGTCCTCCTGTCACTGCACCTCCTCCAGACGTCTCACCTGTGTCTCTGTGTGTGTGGTCAGGTGATCGCCATGATCAAAGGGCTGCAGGTTCTCATGGGTCGAATGGAGAGCGTCTTCAACCACGCCGTCCGTCACACCATCTACTCCGCCCTGCAGGACTTTGCTCAGGTGACTCTGAGAGATCCTCTGAGACAGGCCATCAAGAAGAAGAAGAACGTGGTCCAAAGGTACCGACGCTGGACCACATCGCTGTGTGTGTTTACAGTCCCCGCCCACTCTGACCTCTGACCCTGTCATCTCCTGAACCACAGCGTCCTCCAAGCCATCAGAAAAACCGTGTGTGACTGGGAGACCGGACGAGAACCTCACAACGACCCGGCTCTGCGAGGAGAGAAGGATCCTAAAGGTGGATTTGACATCAAGGTTCCTCGTCGTGCCGTCGGTCCCTCCAGTACCCAGGTCGGCCGATGTTAGCATCATTATGTAATATCTGTATGATGTCGGTTTTTCCTCCGATAATGATGTGTTCTAAAAATAGTTCAATGTCCCGGCGACAGACCAATCAGACGCCTCCGTCCCTGAAGAACTTTTATTGAAAAACAACTGCAGTCCCTGGTTCTAAACTCCTTTATTTTTCTCAGCACAGCTTCTCCAAAAACCCCTTCATAACACAGGAACACAGAACAGTAGGAATGATAAACAAGCCTCTAGTCACTAGATGGCAGCATTGAAGCCTATTCTGTTAATCTATATTGATAACCAGGTGCTGCTGGTGAACAGACCCTAACCCTGTCCTACCAGAGAAGTTGTCCTGACCTCAGATCTTGTCCTGCAGCTCTACATGGTCCGGACCATGCTGGAGTCTCTGATCGCAGACAAGAGCGGCTCAAAGAAAACGCTCCGCAGCACCCTGGAGGGTCCAACCATCCTCGACATCGAGAAGTTCCACCGCGAGTCCTTCTTCTACACTCACCTGC